ATCATCATCATCATCATCATCAACATCATCATCATCATAATCATCATCATCATCATCATCATCATCATCATCATCATCATCATCATCACCATCATCATCATCATCATCATCATCATAAGCGGCATCATCATCACCACAATTACCATCTTCATCATCATAAACATCATACACCATACAACATCATCATCGTCAGCATCATCATCAGCAAATTGAGCGGCATCACAAATATCATCGTCAGCAGCATCATCATCATTCGCAGTACCAGTATCATCATCATCATCATCAGCATTCGCAATATCACCATCGCCGGCATCAAACAAATCATCATCATCACCACCACCATCACCATCATCATCATCGGCATCATCAGTAACCTCATCACCATAAACATCATCAGCATCGTCCTCATCATCAGCATCAGCTTCATCAGCATCACTATACTGATCATCATCATCAGCAGCAGCATCATCAGCAACACTAGCAGCATCGTCAGCACGAGCATCACCAGCATCACCATCAACAGCATCCTCATGATCAGCCGCATCATCACGACCACAGCTTACCACCACCACCAGCATCATCATCATCATCATCAGCATCGTCGCCGTCGCCAACATCATCATCATCATAATAATCATCAGCACCAGCATCAGCAACATCATCAACGTCGTCATCATCATCAACAACATCAGGATCATACTCATCAACAGCATCAGCATCAGCATCACCAGCATCATCATCAGCAGCATCATCATCGTCAACATCATCGCCATTACCACCGCAACCACCACTACAACCAGTCCCCACCATCAGCACCAGCATCATGATCGTCATCAGCATGATCAGCAGCATGATCATCAGCATCGTCAGCACCATCAGCATGATCAACATCATCATACTCGGAATCGCCATCATCACAATAATCAGCATCGTCATCATCAGCATCATAAGCATCACCGTCATGGTCATCATCATCATCATAATCATCCTCACCATATTCGTCATCATGATCACCATCGTCGTCGCCAGCATCACCACAGCAGCATCGTCATCAAATCCAGCATCGTCAGCAGCATCGTCACCATCAGTATCATAATCACCACCATCATCATCATCAACAACAAACACATAATCATCATCAGCAGCAACGTCGTCAGCAAACACATGATCATCATCATCAAACTCATCATCATCATCATCATCATCATCACCAGCACCACCATCATCACCACCACCATCATCATCATCACACTCATCAGCATCATCATCAGCATCATCACCAGCACCATCGGCATCATCAGCAGCATCATCGCCATGAGCTACGTCATCTTTATCAGCATGAGCATTAACATCTTTTTTTATACAAAAAACCCAAGGAGATCTCCAGAAGGCCCGCTGAGTTCCCAAGGCTTCGGACGGCGATCATCGGTGACCACGGTCCCGTGGCATACAACCGCGAGGTCGATTGCCAAACAACGGAAAACAAACACGGGCGAGCGAAGCGGGGAGGAGGGAGAAGGAGGGAAATAAAATATGAGCGAACTGCGAGTGCGTGACCCCATAATTCCAACGATCATTCACATATAATGGCACCCCAACTCAAATCCAGGAGATGCCGCACAGCTCCGCCCCTGGCACAAGGTTGGAACAACCCATGACTCCAGGCAGCCACTGCGGAAAGAACAGATGAGGACAAGGGGGAAAAAGGAAGAGAGAGGACAGCAGGAAAAAGAACACTATGCGGGAGAAGCGCCGAACAGTCCCAACACTCCCCAGGCATCTGAAGCGGCTCTGCCGCACATGAACTGGGCAGGTGGTTGGCGAAAGCGGCCGGAAGGCTGGACAATACGGTCTCATGGGCAACTCCCTGGCAAGGGAGCGGCCGGGCAGACCGGGTGGCCCAGCACCAGCCCCCTCCGCGTGCAGCCGGCGCGAACGCCAATTCCGGGGTTGAGCGAGGAGGAGACAGGCAGAGGAGGCGGAGAGCCGGCCTACCCCAGCAGGGTTAGCCAGCGCTCCGCCTCCGGGAGGCGAGAGCGCGAGGAAGAAACGAGGGGGGAAGGCAGCTCGACTCGGCTGCTCGGCACACCGTGCCCCAACGCCCATCGGCCACGAAGCCGGGAGGACACGATAGCTTGCACCACCTAGCGCCGAATGATGCGGCGGCAGAGGGGGGAGGGAAGAAGGAGGGGGGGACGGACGGAGGACGAGGGGAGGAAGAGGGCCCCCTCGCCGAGCCTCATGGCTCCGGCGCGCTCGGAGCGCCATCCAGCGGCCTGGGCGCAAAGGCCGGGGACACAGACGAGGAGGGAAGGAAACAACGGGCATGACCTCCAACTACGAACGAAAACGGAGTTAAAACTAGTAGGCCGCACTTCCGGCTACGGGGCGTTAAAACTGTTAAGCCGCATTGCTTCGCAGCCGAGGAGGAAGAGGAGGAGGACGAGGAAGAGGGGGCGAAACGACTGCGGCGCCCATCGCGCGACGAGAGCACACGGGGCGAAGACGCGGCCGCGGGGTGTGAGCCACCCGACCCCGCCGTTAGGCGCGCGCGCGCCCGCGCCTTAAAAAGAGGATTACACAAATAGCCGAAACCCAAATATGTTGTGGGTTTAAGGGAGAAGAGGCGGAGGGAGGAGGAGGGAGGCACGAGACAATGCAACATGTTGCCTTGGAGGCCGGTGGGGCCATGCACTACCACGAACATTCCGCGCCAACACAGAGAGAACAAACTCAACCAACAAAAAACGGCCGTCATACATGTCGTGCTGCCTCCTGGAGGGCCATGCGAAAGGCTCCGTCCACGTTGGCCAAGGGCAAAGATCCCGTGCGGCGCGAGTTGTGGACCCTGTACAGCGCGCGCGTGGCCCACGCGCGCTGCCGCGCCTCCCCTTCCGATCCTGTGAAGCCGAAAAAAAGGTCCAGAGCGTCAGCAGCCGTCGACCCAGCGAGACCGGCACGCGTGCGAAGCAGGCGGCGCACTGCTGGACAGCGCGGGAACTGCGCCACGCTGTCCTCGTGCCCGTCGCACCCGAACAAACACGCTCCACCTCCTTGAAACTGGCAGCGCGTGCACCACCCATCTCGGGGAGACGTAAGACTCGGGTACGGGGGACTCGGGTTGGCCCGACGGGGCCATCATAAAAATGACGAGGCCCAATCTGAAATTTGACGCGAGCTCCCGCTGCAGACATCCCACGAAAACTGGGCCGTCAAAATCCAAGACGTGCTCGTCAAAAAAACGTCGGCAAACCCGAGTTCCGGCTTACTCGGGCCTTGCGTTTCCCCGACCATCGCCTACCAATCGCAAGTAGGCGGCCTGGACACGTGGCGCCCACCACCCGGCCAGAAACCGCATGCGGGCCAAGACCCGGGCGAGCCTGCGCCCGGGCAGGGTCACGGCGGGCCGACGATCCAGCCGCCGTCGGCGAGCCAGCCGCCGGGCAGGGTCATGGCGGAAGGCGCGCTCCCCTGGCGGCGCCTGAGCCAGGGCGGCCGCACGGCGCTGCCAGCCCGACTTCTCGTTCAGCCAGCGCTCGCCGGGCGGCGCGCGCCGAAGTAGAAGGTCGACCTGGTCATCAGCAGCGTCGAGATGCAGCAAGAAGAGTCGCGACCGCCACTCCTCCAGCCAAGCCTCACGAATGGCGGAACGCTCCCCGTCTAGGCTCGTCAGGGCGCGGAGCCGCCTGGCCCGCCGGCGCACCTCGAGGGCGCCCCCGGCTTCGAACCGGACCACCAGCGCCGTGGCCTCCAAGTCCTTGAGCTGCCAGGGCAGACCAAGCGACTTGAGGTCCTTCAGGCAGCCTGGCGCCATCCAACCCATCGGCCCGTGGAACATGGCCCGGCACGCGCGGCATTCGAATTCGGCGAAATCCGGGGGGAGCGGATCCAATTGGGCGATGAAGAGCAGCACGGATGCCACGTAGACTGAATACGCGTGCACGGTCAACAACGCCCCCGCGCCCATCTGCCCCCATTGGCGGGCGCGGTCCAAGTACTTGTGGAGCGGCTTTTCCCAAGAACGTTGACCCCGCCCCGGGCCGACGTAGAAGCCCAAATACTTGGCCGCGGCGGCGATGACAGCTCCACCCCAGGCGGGGGCGGCCGGGCTCAGAGAAGCCCGCAGCGCGAGCTCGTCGAACGGGTCTAGCGGCACGAACACGGTCTTTGGTATATTGAGCCGGAGGGCCGAGACTTTCGCAAAATCTTCAAAGAACTGCCAGAGCGCCAGGAGCCGCGGTAGGGCGCGCGGGAGCACCATGGCCAGGTCGTCCGCCCACACCTTCAGCAAGGCATGAGCATGAGCATGACCATGAGCATCAGCAGCATCATCACCACCATCATCCGCAGCAGCATCAGCATCATAAGATCAGCATCAGCATCAGCAACAGCTTCAGCGTCAGCACCATCATCATCAACATCGTTATCGCAATCATCATTATCCGCATTACCATCCTCATCCTCATCCTCATCCTCCTCATCATCATCCTGAGCATCATCATCGCCAGCAGCATCATCATCATCGTCGTCATCATCGTCATCATCAGCATCAGCATCAGCATCATCGGCATCAATTCCATCATCATCACCATCATCACCCTCATCATCAACGACATCATCACCATCATCGTCACCATTATCCTCCCTGCCCATGCCTCCTCCCTGGTCTCTCCCTCTTTCACTCACCTTCCCCTCTCTGTCATGCCTCCCCCTTCTTTCCCTCTTCCCCCCACCGTTCCCCGTTCTCCTCCTCGAGCTCCTCCTGCTCCTCCTCCTCTGCCTGCTCCTCCTCCCCATCTGACGATCGACCAACCAGGGAGGCGGCAGCCTGGACCGTGCTCCTCCCCCCCAGCTTCCCTCCCTACTCAGCGTCCCTCCCCTTCCCTCTTCCGCTATTTCCGCTATTTGCAGCGCCTTGAAGGGTTTGATTCCTGAAGCGCAACAATTCCCTCTTCCGCCCGCATCCTCCGCGCCCCGACCCGCAGTCCGACGGGCGCCGCCTGCGTCAGGCCACCGGACAGGGCCACCTTCGCCGGCAGCGCAACCGCCGCCATGGCAGCCACCGCGGCAGCGGCGCCGGCGAGGCGAGGCGCGGCGGCGGGGGGAGGCGCTCTCGTCGCGAGGGGTCGACCCTGGGCAGGACGTGTCCCTGGGTGCGCGCCTCTCGGGGGGCCACGGGGGGCCGAGTCCAGGCGAGGAGGCCGCTGCAGGCCACTGCTGGGGGGGAGGGAGCTCTTCTGGGCGCGCACCAAGGGGTCACTGTGGCAAACGGCCACTCTTGCGCGAAGGCGACTCTGGGACTCTGGCCACCGTTCGGCACCCGGGCGACGGAGGTGGCCCAGGGGAAGCATGCTTCTGCTATTAGAACGGTAAAACAAGCAACCACAGAAACCATAACAGAAACAACAACGACGGCAACAACAACAACAACAACAACAACAACAACAACAACAACAACAACAACAACAACAACAACAACAACACCAGCAGCAGCAGCAGCAGCAACAACAACACCAACAACCACAACCACAACAACAACACCAACAACAACAACACCACCAACAGCAACAACAACAACAACAACAACAACACCACCACCACCACCACCAACAACAACAACAACAACAACAACAACAACAACAACAACAACAACAACGACGACGACGACGACGACAACAACAACAGCAGCAGCAGCAGCAACAATAACAACAACAACAACAACACCACCACCACCACCACCACCACCACCAACAACAACAACAACAACAACAGCAGCAGCAGCAGCGGCAACAACAACAACACCAAAAACAACAGCAATCATTTTAAGTATGTTCGTCCTCATCTGCTCGAGTGTCCAATAACGCGTATTTCCCAAACCCTCGATACCCGCCCTCTTCGTCTTCGATCGAACCCCTTTTGGGGGCTATATCATTCTTCCCTGCAGGCTGGGCCCCGGCAAGCGGCGGGGCGGCCGCGGACCGTCGACCCGACCCCAAGAGGAACGGACAGGGGACCGACGACGACGACGAGCAAAAGCGAAAACGAGAGAGAACGACAGCAGGGCCACAAGGACACGAAGTAGGCCACGAAGGGCAACAGCGGGGACACGAAGAGAATGCGTATGGGACCACGAAGAGCGCGAGCGAGCGGGGGCCACGAAGGGCAGATAATGCGGGGCCACAGAAGGCAACGATGGGGCCACTGAGGGTAGCAACTGGGCCACGTAGGAAAGTGAGGGGGCAACAAACGGCAACAGCGGGGCCACGAAGGGCAGGCACATGGGGCCACAACGGGCCCGAACGAGCGGGGGCCACGAAGGGCATACGTGTACTGGGCCGCGGAGGGCAAGGACGGAGCCACTGAGGGCAGCGACGGGGCCACGAAGGGCAGCGAGGGGGCCACGAAGGGCGACAGCGGGGCCACGAAGGGCATGCATATGGGGCCACCACGGGCGCGAACGAGCGGGGGCCACGAAGGGCATACATCAATGGGGCCACGAAGGGCAGCGAGGGGGCCACGAAGGGATGCAACGGTGCCACGAAGGGCAGCGAGGGGGCCACGAAGGGCTGCAACGGGGCCACGAGGGGCTGCGACGCGGCCACGAATGGCAGCAAGAGGGTCACGAAGGGCTGCAACGGGGCCACGAAACAAAGCGAGGGGGCCCGAAGGTCTGCAACGGGGCCAAGAAGGGCAGCGAGGAGGCCACGAGGGGCTGCAACGGGGCCAGGAAGTGCAGCGAGGGGGCCACGAAGGGCTGCAACGGGGCCACGAAGGGCAGCGACATCCCGATTACTTGGTAATCTGTGAGGGAGTCCTAAGCGTGAGCGCGACTCCTGGGTGCCGGGGTGTCAAGAGCGCGGCGCTTGAGTACATTACAGGTTCTTCGGTAAATTGCAAACACGTCTCCAGCGAGAGCGCGACTCCAGAGCGCCGAGAAAGCGATTCCTGAAGAAAGTGTAAGGAAGTCCCAAGCGAGAGCGCGATTCCTGAATAAAATGCGAGGAAGTCTCGGGCGGGAGCGGGGGTCCTGGCTAAATTGTGAGGAAGTCTCAGGCGGGAGCCGTTGTGTGGGCACAGTGGTGGTGGGGACAGTGGCGAGAGGACAGTGGGAGAGTGGTGAGGACAGTGGGGACAGTGGGACAGTGGTGGGGACGGTGGTGGTGGGGACAGTGGTGAGGGCGGTGGTGAGGACGGTGGTGGGACACTGGGACGGTGGTACAGTGGGGACAGTGATGGGGACAGTGGGGACAGTGGGACAGTAGTGGGAACAGTGGGACAGCATAGTGGGGACAGCGGTGGTGGGAACAGTGGTTGGTTGGGACGGTGGTGGGGATGGTGGTGGGGACGGTGGGGATAGTCGGACAGTGGTGGGGACAGTGAGGACAGTGGGACACTGGTGGGGACAGTGGGAGCAGTGGGGACAGCGGGGAGAGTGGGACCGTGGTGGGGACAGTGGTGGGGACAGAGGGGACAGTGCGACAGTGGTGGGGGCATTGGCGGGGACAGTAAGGACAGTGGTGGGAACAGTGGGGACAGCGGGACAGTGGTGGGGACAGTGGGACAGTGGTGGGGACGGTAGTGGTGGGGACAGTGGTGAGGGCGGTGGCGAGGACGGTAGTGGCGACCCGGGAGTCGTTTGCCAGCTGCGATTTGGGAGGGGGGGAGGTTCGAACCGGCAATGACCCCCGGTTTTCCCGAGGGTGGGGGCGGGGGGAATTCGGGGTGGGGGGGTGTTTTTGCCGGGAGGGGGGATGGGGGGTTCGAGCAAGGAGGGGGGGAAAGACTTTCGGAGGGGGGGGGGGGGCCGCAGGTTCCGGAGGAAGAGGTGGGATAATTTTCCATTGCAAAGCGGCGGCGGATCACGTTCTCTTGTGTACATCTATATGTATACACATAGATGTATGTGTATATATATATATAGACATACATACATACATACATACATACATACATACATACATACATGCATGCATGCATGCATACATACATACGTACATACATACATACATACATACATACATACATACATACATACATACATACATACATACATACATACATACATACATGCATGCATGCATGCATGCATGCGTGCGTGCATGCATACATACATACATACATACATACATACATACATACATACATATATATATATACTCGCATCCATAGATGCAGCTTACAAACACGTGTGAGGCATCCAACACCGTGCTGTTGGGCACGGAATGGGCGTATCCTCAGATCACTTGCCTGATCCCTTCCGCCCCAGTTCTCAACCCCGAGGAGTCTCTCAGAGGGCCCGGGCCCCGAACGGCCACGTCGCCCTGGGCTCAGCGCGTGCCCCCCTTGAGGTTCCCGGAGTTCCTTCTCGCACGAACGCTTCGGGCCCACAAGATGGCAGACAGGACGTGCAGAGAGAGAGAGAGAGGGAGATAGATAGAACGCGCGCAATCTCTTGGATGCTCTTGGGGCCGTCTTGGAGCGAGGATCTGGACAACGCTGGCGCTGTTTATGGGGGCCAGTCCCCACGACACGGAGGGACCCCCTGGGCTCCTTGGGGCCTCCTGAAAAAAGCTGGGGGGTGTATTGGGCCGTCCTGGGAGCCTCTTGGGGCCGTCTGGCGAGCCATAAAGGCCCCAATTCCAGCCGTTTTGAGCGCCTCCAGGGGGGCTCATGGAGAGCTGTGGAACCCCCCATGGAGACAATCAGAAAAACACGACAACCAAGAAATTCCTGTGGTGCTTGGCAGATTGATCGGCTCGGGAGATGGAAGCTGAATCGGATCCGAGAAGAATGCGACCATGTTCGTACGAAAATGGCCGCATTACGTTCGAGCCCTGGGAGCTCCGAAAGGACCGTGTTGGATCTCTTCTTGAGCCGTCTTGGGGGCATAGTGGGACGTCTTAAAGGTGTTTGGGCTTGTCTTTGGGCTCCTTTGTTTCATCCTGGGGGTGCCTTGGTACTCTCGAGCGTTCCCTTGGCCATCCGAAGAGGCTCTGAATGTCAAGGGGGACGCCTCGGAGCCTCTCTTGGACCGTCTGGCGAGCCAAGGGGTCCGTCTTGGAGACCTCGTGTTCCGCCCTGGGGTCCTCGTGCCCATGTGTGGGGGGCCCTTCGGGCTGGCTTGATACTCCCTGGGGCCGTCAGGGCCCCAACTCCAGCCGTTTTGAGCGCCTCACGAAGGGAGGTCGTGGAGAGTCGTGGAGCCGCGTTAGAGGCAATCGGGCGAAAACTCGAAAAAGATGGAATTCCATTGGTCGTTGGTAAATTTTGCTTGACCGTTTTGGGAGATGGAAGCCGAATCACACCCGATGTTATGCTTCCCACCATGTCATAAGAAAATGGTCGCATTACGTTCCAGCCCTGGGAGCTCCGAAAAGACTGTCTTGGAGTCCATCTTGGACCGTCTTGGGGACGTATAGGGGACGTCTGTTTAACCTGCGGTGTTGTGCCCGGCGGTCCTATTGCAAATCTCTCTTCTCCTTTCTCCCCATCTTTGCGGTCATCTTCGCTTAAGACAATGCTGTGATCGGGCGACGTGCATTCGAACGCCATGATTCGATGATGTCGTAGCCATAGTCTGATAGCTGTCCATTCACGCAGGCGTTATTATTAGTTCAGTTACCGCTCAGTCGCCACGTCCTTGCTGGGCAGCACGCTGGGGCCTCCGTTGGCAGCTCTTGGGGCTTCTGTGGGCTTGGGCCTCTGTAGGCTGTGTCGGGGGCCTCAGTGGGCAGCGTGCTGGAGCCTCTGTGGGCGCGCTTGGGGTCTGTGGGCTGTGCCGGAGGGCCTGCGGGCAGCGTGCTACGGCCTCTGTGGGCATACTCTCGGCCTCTGTGAGGTGTCCTGGGGGCCTCAGTGGGCAGCGCGCGGGGGCCTCCGTGGGCGCGCTGGGGCCTCTGCGGGCTGTGTCTGAGGGCCTCAGTGCGCAGCGTGCTGGAGCCTCTGTGGGCGCGCGGGGGCCTCTGCGGCCTGTGTCCGGGGGCCGCAGTGGGCATTTCTCCCTCCCCTCCCTTTCCTTCCCCTCGTTTTCACCGCTCCTTGCCTTTGGCGGGCACGCACGCGCCTGAAGGGGGGGTCGGGTGACTCACACCCGTCCGCCGCGCGCCCGTCTCCTCCCCCTTCCGGTTTATTCCTACTCCCCCCCTCCCTCCTCCCCTTCTCCTTGCCGTTGTTCTTGGGGGTGTGCTCTGTCGCGGGCGCCCGGATGGACTTTGGCCTTCCACCCAAGTGTCGACAAGAGAAGCCTGGATGGGCACACACTCGCTGCTCCCTGGGTGGCTGCAAGCTGCGCAAGTAGCGCCACTTCCGTGGACTCCTGGAGGGAACAGGGGAAAGCCGAAACTTGACAGCT